CTAGAAACTCTTTTCTAGTAAATCTATCTATCCTAGTCGAAACTTTGTTTATCAAGAATAAACGAGATAACACAGGATCTTATCCATGTCGTTTACTCAAGGTAATGAATTCCTTCTTGGTTGAACACTTATCTTCTACATATAACTAACTAGGGCCATCACATGCCATATACCCATATATGAATAGCATAGATATGTAAGCGATAACAAGCCCTAATCACCTACATGTGAGATAATCATGTTCCCTCAAGTCAAAGGATAATATGCACCATTATAATCTAGATGGTTGAATCATTGACAAGTAGTAAGAACTTCATGTTATCATCATTTAACATTACTCGTTCAACTTACTCATAAGGAGTATCTATATATTTGTTCTAATATCATATATCACATAGCATGAGACTCACTATCTAAACAAACGAAGTGATAATCTTCTAGATAAATGATGCCCAATCATGTATCTTACGATGATGAACTCTTTAAAGTATTTTTTTCCAAAAATATATACCACTCATATTCTAAACATCTTTTATAATAGATATTCTAACAATATAATCAAGGACTATATTCAAAATAATAAAAACTTTCATAAAATGAATATATCTTTTATCTATAAACGGATAATTGTTTACAAATCACATAATACATATAGCTCTTAGGCATACACATTTAACAATACAATCAATAGTGATTACACTTCTTCCATCCTTAATCCTTACCTTTTCTAATATTGAGCATGTACCTTCCAATTCAAATATCTTATTTTAAAGAAAAAAAGTTAAATCAACACATTTTTTTCCTATCAAAAAAGGTTCTAAAAAATCTAAAACCTTCGGGCATAGATGTCATAGAGCATAATGCTTGTTAACCTTCGGGTATACAAGATAGTGTACGTACCTTTAGTAAGCAACCTTGAAATATAGTTTGTTCATGAATTTAATTGTGACCTTAGTACTCTCTTGTTCACGAAACATTTAGGTATCATTTGGTTATAAAAAATGAAAGGTCGAAAATGAAAATGCGAGAAATTAAAATGGCATTTGCATTCCCCTATTTTATATGGAATAATAATAAGGAATGAGAATGAAATTTAATTTTTTTAATATATGATTTTTAATATAAATAAGAATAATGATTAAAAAAATAATTTCATCATCTATAATTATAGTAAAAATAATAGAGGTGATAGTGGTGGTATTTATGGTGGTGATGAAAGTGGTAGTGGTTGTGGTGGTGGTGGTAGAAGTAATTAATAAACAATAAATAAAAAAATAATTATTATTTAAAAAAAAATCATTCTTATTTTTTATTTTTATTTCCATTTTATATATGAAAATGAAACCACGTAATTTTTATTTTCATTCTCACTTTTCATTTTTATTTTCACTTTATTCATTTCAATCAAACGACTCTAAGGTGAAAATAAAACTTTTATTTTTATTTCCGTCAATCTATTTTCGATAATCCAATGACACCTTAAGAATTTATTTTCATTTCCAATCTTGACATGCTTAATGGAAAGAGTTTTTTTTTTTTTAATGATGCATTTTTATATTAACATTGTTGTAATCATAAGGTTGTGGTTGTATTTGTTTTTGAAAAAATTTTATAATACTCAATAAGTAACTAGTAATCATGTCCAATAATTACTACATAAAGAGATAGTCATAAAAAAAGTAAGAGAAAGAAATTAAAAAGAGAAAATTAAAAAAAATTGAGCCAATGTGAATTTTTTTAATCATTTTTAATGGATTTAAAAGTAAATAAATAAATATATATATATATATATATATATATATATATATATATATATATATATATATATATGTCCTCTTTTTTTTCACTGGTTAGTTTTAAATATTATAAAATTTCTCACTGCTTCTGCTGGTTCACTTCGCGCAATACCTAGGCTTAGGAAGGCAGCGGTACCGTACTGATTTCTTTAAGCCATGTTATGGGAAAAGACAATATAAACCCGATTATTTATCGGTTCTTTCGCTAGGTTAAAAACAAAGATGAGGAAATATCTGCTTCTCGATGAAACTGTCGAAATATGCAGAATGTTTGGGAGTTCTAAGGCACGAATTAATTGAAGTCAGTGGATATAGACGTGCATTCTTTGTGTCAATGGGACAATAGCAGTACAATTTTCCTTTTGTTATATAGATAGATGACATGTGAAATAAATTCCTTTTTATTTTTTTATATAAAAATACAAAATAATAAGTACTTTCTCTTTAGGCGATGCTCCAACGATTAATATTTGAAATTTTCATTTACTAATTTAGATTTAAATCCTTGTATTGTTGTAGCTACCCGTTCATGGGGTTCTTAACCATTAGGACAAGGCTTTAGGGTTACTAACTCGAATATTCCCGTTTTGCAACTTGGGCTCCGTTTGTTAGACAAACCAATCCGACATATACTGCTGGTATTTCCTTACAGTGGACGCGTGGAGGGCTGTGCATAAGCCACTTGAGAAAGGCATTACTCGTTCACATTCTCGAGGCTCAATAACGCAACGTTGTCCTCGAAGTTTGAACTTTGCTGATCGGTTCTCTTCTTCTCAATAGGAGCCACTGACCATGTAGAGGTTCAACACGAAGAAGCAACTCTGTCTCATACTGCTTCTAAAGCAGAACCTATTTAGATTCAAAGAAAGGAAAATGCCTTTTCACGAGTATGATTAAGCTTTCAATGTAGCAACTTTTCTTTCTTTCTTTTTAATGAAGTTATCAATCATCATCTTCCACGTTTAATCATTTGGTACATCGAATGACCACTAGGCTGTTTTATATATATATATATATATATTAGGGCTCCTCCAATTATCCCATCCCTGATCATTATTTCTTGATTTCACAATGGGAAGTTGCATTAGTCTTCACCTCCTACCCAGCTCCCTTTCCCTAAATTTTGTTTTTTTCCATTTTCTTAATAAGTAGAGTGAACCCCACGTGTTCTTAATTTAATTACCTCTTTAATTTGTCTTCAATTATCGCTAGGCCATAACTTGTGGCTCTGGTTCTCTATAGGCATCTAGTTCGTGAAAATTAAAAGCCTCAACTAGCAATAGAAAAGCCGGCTCAAATAGACTTTTCAGACAGTACTAGCTCAGTAAGTTGAGTTTTGGTTCTATTATGCATTATGAAATGTCATGATATATCGTAGGCTGCAGTATTTGGCCAAATTATGCAGGAAATTGTAATGCATCAACACTCCCCCAGAGACGTTTGTTTCTAATTTCCTTGTTTAATAAGCTTCAAGGCATTTAGTAGCCTAGTATGGAATTATTCCTTCCTACATATTTCTATATGACAAATACTGGTAATTTATGTCATGACAGCGTAACAAAACAATTCAAATAGCATGTGGCAGTAGGCATCCACCCCTCTCTTGATCTTACTATCCCTCAGCCTGATGTATATAATTACCATGCAGTTTAGATGCATAGATAGCCACATATATACTGATGGCGACACTCATAACAAGCCATATTGAGGATTGCCTAGCTAGCTAATTACCAACTGTGATCTGTACGTTGTATATCATGATCAATTCATGCTTAATAGGAAGTACGAATCATCAACAACCTCATTTAATTTCTTCCAAAGAAAAGTAGGATCTGTTTCATTTCAAACAAAGAAAATATGGGAGTATTCTTAGATTATCATTATCATTACTGAGGAGTCAACCTGTACCTTCATGTTGGATAAGTTTATATATATATATATATATATATATATATATATGAATGAAATATGTGGCCGCACAGCTTCAGAATGAAATGATGGAGTTAATTAATTGATCATTTCTAACTTACCAACCATTGAAAAAAACGAGAAAACAAACAACAGGAATAAAAGTAAATAACAATGATGAGAAGCATTTTTGTCATCTTGGAAAATCAAGTAGCTAGGGTAGGGGCACGAGACCTCTATTGGTTATGGAGAAGAGTAGCGAACCCAGCTTCATGCATAAATGCCCCTAATGGAGAATGCAAGTGCTTCTCGATCAGATCGATAATGCCAAAACAACCTGTTGTTATGTTATTACTAATAATAATGTCTGCATATTCTTGCATTCGCTAAGGTCACATACATCGGCCAAAATGGGCCCTTTTACGCAATACAAAGTAGCATTATTTTATTCAGGTATTGATTTTGATTATGTAACAAGAAAGTGTTTCCCATAATCCCATGGCCTGCCTCATTGTAAATTTAGCTTATAGGTGAGCTGAGAATGATATAGATATACATGCCATCTTCTTTCTAATATAAAACTAGTAAATTAAATGATTAAACTAACACCCAGCTTCCCTAAATTGAATAAATTAGCAAAACTAATTAGACAGAGACAGAGCCTTCTCAGTTTAGCAACTAAGGAAAGGGGAAGACACAAGAGAAAAAGGAGGCCAGCCAACTCATTGAAATTGTGAGCTAAGCAAAAATTCTAGAGGCCGAGGCATATAGGGATGGGACCCAACTCGGCAAATTTTTCAGTAAATTTTTGTGAGACAGAGGGGGTGGGGGGCTTTGGGGTGTTTGTGTTCTGTTGACGGCCAAATAATATTATTACATAAGCTCAACCATACAAAGAACCTGTCAGCTGGTTCGTGATGGTAACTCCATCCTTTTCGGTTCAGACAGACATGGGGGGTCAAAGTTTTCAGGACACTAAAAATTTAATATTTAGTTTGTTTGATTGCAGAGATTTCGGTGAAAAAGACATAAAATCACCCCTATAGAGTGAGAGAGAGAGAGAGAGAGAAAAAGCAGATTCCATTTTAATCTTAGGCTCTTAGTGCTAATAAATACAACACAATATATCCTATAATCTATATTATAATCGTGTATAAGACCTTTACTTGTGTAGCTATATATATATATATTCTCCAACTTGATGCAGCTTCACATTATCAAGGTATTTATCAATTATCATCTCCCAAGATAAACAGCGAGAGAGACACAGAATTATAGTTGTTGTGAGAGCTAGCAATGGAGATTAATGGACATGATTTCTTAGAGGAGTTAATAGCTCTAAGTAGGGAATCTTGGCAATCCACTCCAAATTTTCCAACAGAAATGAATGAGCTTTTCTCTGGTAGCTTCAACCATGATTGCTTTGAAGAACTTCCAGCTACACTCCCTCAAACTTCTTTCTGTCCTGAAGGATTAATCTCCTCTCCTCTTAAACAAGACTTCAGCAACTACTACTTGAATGAAGTCTTCTGCCCATTTGGTGATGAGTACTCAGCACCGCAATTCACAGATGAGTTTTCCTCAGCCCCACAATTTACCGATTCTTCCTATAACACGCTTGACACACCAACATTTCCTGTCCAAGAGGACACTCCAATGTCCATGATGGAGGATGAGGAGCTGGGTCTGCTTGCTAATGATCAACAGAATCTGCAGATGCAGGGTACTTGCAAAGTTGAGCCTATTCAGTCCCCAGAGGTGCCAGCTTTCAATGCTAATACTTGTCCAGAAAGAAAGATTAGAGGGAAGAAGTTGGAGGGGCAACCATCAAAGAACCTAATGGCTGAGAGAAGGCGAAGAAAGAGGTTAAATGACCGGCTTTCGATGTTAAGATCAATTGTTCCTAAGATCAGCAAGGTAAAGATTGACCCAATTAGAAAAAAAAAAGTGCAATTTTATTTTTATATAGAGGCTAATTAGTTTGTTTCGATGCAATTTGTCAATAGATGGACAGAACATCAATACTTGGAGACACTATAGATTATATGAAGGAACTATTGGAGAGAATCAACAACTTGCAACAAGAAATTGAAGTGGGTCCAGAGGAGTTGAAGATGATGAGCATTTTCAAGGACACAAAACCCAATGAAATTGTTGTGCGGAATTCACCAAAGGTATGCACTGTGCAGTCTGTTCTAATCCATGTATAAGAACCCCAATAAAAGGCTGAGCATCCCTAAACAGACATTGCTTTCAATCTTTGTTCTGCAGTTTGAAGTGGAAAGAAGAAATGAGGATACAAGGATTGATATTTGCTGCGCAACAAAGCCCGGGTTGCTGCTATCAACAGTAACTACATTAGAAACATTAGGCCTTGGGATTCAACAGTGTGTGATTAGTTGTTTCAATGACTTTACAATGCAAGCTTCTTGCTCAGAGGTACATATTCAATTCGTTGATATAGGGCTTAATTCTTCTGCTGTAAGATTAAGTAATAGCTAACTTTTTTTTTCTTGTGATAATAACAGGATTTGGAGCAGAGAACATTAATAAGTTCTGAAGACATAAAGCAGGCATTGTTTAGAAATGCAGGATATGGAGGGAGATGCCTGTAGACATTAAAGGAGTAGAAAAGGAGGAAATTGCAGTGAAGTTTTTTAAGAGAGTTTTGCAAATCTCGTTTATTTCAATGAGGTTTTCAAGTGAGGGAGTAGTAAATTCACTTTTTAAAATAAGTTACTTCTGTGCATCAGAGCTATGCATTATCTACTTCAATGTGAGATCTTTATTAATCCAATTGCTTTGATATCATCAGATTGTTATTGTTTCTGTTTCTTTTTAGATTTTTTTTTTTTTTTGGGGGGGGGGGGGGGGGGGGGTAGTGTGGGGATTCAGAGCTTATCAGATGATAAAATCATTAATTAGAAGCTTATGTAAGTAGTGATTTTCTCTTACGCAGTTATAGTGGAATAAGATATCATTGTGAGTGTTTGCTAATGATGTACGGAATATGCAGTTGCTGCCCCTGAATCTTCTATGAACAAATTTAGGATAAAGTAATCACTTGAGAATGGAATATGTCAACACAAGAAAAGAGCTATAAGATAATTGCAATCTTTTTGCTTTGTTATTTCCAATTGCAATTAAACATGTCAGGAACTTTATCTTGATTAAGTATTTCTAGGGTAATAACTGACAACTTTTCATCTTAGATAAAACAGAAGAGGCGTATGCAAGCTGGGATAATGAATAGGGTTTTTAGAATTGATCACTCAAAACAGAATTCAGATGTGACAATTATAGAATAGCATCAGCATGGAAGTAATCTGTTTCGTACTTTTTCAGCATTTTGTAGTCTTTATATTAGAAAGATAGAACAAGAAGCGAATAAAATCCTAAAGAAAAATAAAAAAGAAGTTACTTTTGGCAAATGATCATCAGGGTTGTAATCTCTTCAGCTAAGAATTTTTATCAAGATGTGCTTCCATTCTGGATATGTTACAGTTCCTCTTTCATCAGATCCTGAACTTTTTATTAGAAGGTGTAAAACACAAATGCTGATGAATGTCTTAAGTAACAAATATACAAATATTCAGTAACAGCAACAAAGGAGTCACTCCATACAGACTCTTCGATAAGTATGCTGAGCAGATTTCTCAGTCACCTGAAACCAATTCGGAGAGGAAATATAGGCCAAGATAATCTACTCTACAATTCCATATGTTGGTCACTAAAAAGATATTCTAAAAAATTAAGCCAAAAGTATCTTGTAATCAAACTCATTTATCAAGATAACTTGAAAAAAATTCAACTGTATGGTGTGAAAGCTTAAACTTTATGTCCGAACCCTTCCAAAAAGCAGAACCATCAACAAATGGAACTAAATTATTCAATTAGTAGGCCAACATAAAGCTTATTGATGTGCCATTGCAAAATAAAATAGATTCTGACAATATAAGAAACTTGCCCTTTTCCCCTATATTGTAAAATCAGTTTGTCTTGTCCCCTCCCACGATACTTTTAGCTCGTTTATGCTCTTATAAAGACATCTGAGTGACACTAAACATGGCCATGGACTCACTTCGCCAACTTTAATTGGCGAGGATTCTCTGATATGACCCAGGACATGGCCTGACTTTTTGAGTGAAGCCCCAATTATGAATTTCCGTGTTCCATAAAGTCCCTTACAGCAAGAAGAAACTGACATTTCCAAACAGAAGAAGGAAGATGCTAAGATATTTCCATACAAAAAGCAATAAATACGTACGTTATCTTTTACAAATCTGTATTCTTGATTTATTAGACCTTTTGAGGATTGAACAGGATGATTCAACCTGACATGCATGCCATAAATTTCATAAATCAGATACTGTAGACTTGTCTTGCATACCATGGTGAACCATGTGCAGTCTTTAATGAACTAGGTGAGTTTCATGGGTGGCCAGTCTATATTGAAGTAAATATAAAGCTTGTCTTTTGTTAATCCAGATTTTTTTTCTTTTTCCTCACTACGGGACACATAGGAAATGTAAGGTGTTTCTTTAGCCCTCCTGAGAAACCAGCAGTCAAGGTCTCCACCTTAACTTCGTCCCCATTGGATGCTGCAGTTTTGCCTTTTCCAAAGCCAAGCTGAAACTTTTCAAGTTACAAAGACAGCAACATAGAGGTTCCGCAAGATTATCATCCAGCAGGAAAAAAAAAAATTGCTTGATGCCGGAAAACGATTAAGCATGACAACGAGCAAAATGAAACGACGACGTCAGCTACATTTTTAGAATAAATTTGCAAATTGTTATAAATTGCTTGTCCTATGATTGAAATTATGCGTTCCATTTTTGCTTGCCAGAGATGAGGAAAAATTGGAGAAATTGGTCTGAGTATTCATGGAAGGCTGTCTTGATTCTTGCATACTAATTCTTCAAAGGCTGTAGCTTTCGCTGGAGATCTCCTCTTTGCCTAACCTTCATTTTTTCTGGAACAACCACATGGAAAATTAAGAAGAACCAAAGATTAGTTGAAATACAGCATGGGCATAGTCTTTTAAGCATGGTGATCTCAGTACAAATCTAAGTCCAATTTATGACAATCGTGGGCCAGAGCTCAAATCAAAATATAAGGCCAGTTCGAATAGAATAGAGTAGAGATTTAAACTGAACCTAGAACGCATAGTTTTCGTTGAGCTCGATCGCTAAATGGGCTAACAAAACAGAATTTGGAGTTGATTGGAGATTTGTTTCTAACTTTTAAGCAAAAAGCAAGTTCGTTGCCTGCGTTAACATAATCAAATTATTTAACTTGATATCCTCTATTATACTGGATCTTCTAAACTATATGGAATCAAATAAATATATAAAAAAAATCTAATCCAATAACTTTTCAATCAAAATTTTATATTTAATTGATTATTCCTTATCCTTTTCATAGATTTTCAATTGAAAAAAACATGATTTTTTATTTTGTATACATTAATTCTTAAATAAAAATCCACTACAATTCATATAAAAAACTTGTTTAAAAATTAAAATAATAATAATAATATTTTTTTTATTTACTATTGATGAGAATATTATTTTTTGAGAGCATACAATATATATATATATATATGTATTATAAAATGTATTTCTTTTCTTTTGGATGTTTTAAAATTAGTTTCTTTTGAATAAAATAATTAAAATAATTTTTTATAATGACGATTCAACTATTCAAATATAGTTTTTAATATTATATTATTGATTATTTTATAATAGATTGTGTGTGTGTTTTGGATGTTCTATTCAAAACATCCATCAAATAAACCATATTAATGTATTTTATAAAAAAAAAATTAAAAATTTTATTCAAAAATTCATATATAAAGGAAAACAAATCATATTTTCTTAACAAATAAAATTATATAAAAAATTAATTAGTTATTTTTATAAAAATGACAAATCAAAAAATCATCTTAAATTTTGAAAGAAAAAAAATTACAAATCAAAAAAATCATATTTCTTAATCATCAGATTATATGAAAAAAATTTATTTTTTCATAAATTTTGCACAAAATCAATAATAAAAACAATAAAAAAAATTACTGAAAAAATACAAAAGAAAAAAAAAGCCAGGTCTGTGCCTCTAGGCCTCCGTAGTTGCAGGCTTGTCTTTTTGCAGACCCGATTGGAAATGCCTTGGCTAAAAAAAAAAAAAAAAAACAACAACAACAACAATGGACGGCGCGTAATTCATTAGTATGCTAAATGAACAGTAAAAATCTCAATTTTTTTAGATTTTTACACAATTTGATACCGTATATTATATTATGAATCTTCTAAAATATATCGAATCAAAGGTATAAAAGAAAATCAAATTAAATAACTTTTTAATCAAAATATTGTATTTAATTGATTACTCCTTATGTTTTTCATGAATTTTTAATTGAAAAAAAAGCTTAATTTGTTATTTTGTATGCATTGATTCTTAAATAAAAACATAAAAAATCGAAATAGAAAATTGAATTCAAGTTTTTTAAAAGAAGCTAAATATTTTGTATGCATTGATTCTTAAATAAAAATCTACAAAATCTAAATTGAAAATTGAATTCAAATTTTTTAAAAGAACCCAGATAAATTTTCCATGAGGTTGTGTGTGTGTAAAGCTATATTTCATATAAAAACTTGTTTAAAAAATAACAAATAAAAAATTGATTTTTTTTCTTATTCAACGATGATAAGAAGATTATTTTTTGAAAGTATATATATATATATATTCAATCATACAATAATCAATAATTTAACATTAAAAACTGTATTTTGATAATTGAGCTGTCATTTTAAAGAATGATTTTAATTATTTTTTTCAAACGAAAATAATTTTAATATATTCTAAAGAAAAAAATATATATTTTATAATCTTTATATATGTGTGTGTTATATTCAAAACACCCAAAATTGAATTCAAATGTTTTAAAAGAACCTAAATATTTTGTATGCATTAATTCTTAAATAAAAACCCAAAATCTAAATAGAAAATTGAATTTAATTTTTTTAAAAGAACCTAAATAATTTTTCCAAAGGTTGTGTGTGTGCGCGGGCATGTGTGAAGCTATATTTCATATAATTTTTTTTAAAAAAACTAACAAATAAAAAATTAATATTTTCTTCTTATTTAATGATGATGAGAATATTATTTTTTGAAAGCATGTATATTTTATATATATTCAATCATAAAATAATCAATAATTTAGTATTAAAAACTGTATCTGAATAATTGAGTCGTCATTTTAAGGAATGATTTTAATTTTTTTTTCAAAGGAAAATAATTTTAAAATATCCAAAAGAAAAAAATATATTTTATAATCTTTATATGCGTGTGTGATCTATTCAAAACACCCAACAATATAAACCATATTAATGCATTTAAAAAAATCATATTAAAAAATTCATACATAAAGAAAAAAAATCATATTTTCTCAACGAATAAAGTTGTATAAAAAAATAATTAAAAAATTAATTAGATATTACCATAAAAAGGACGGATCAAAGAAATCATCTTAAATTTTGAAAGCTATATATATATATATATATATTACAAATAGAAAAAAATCACATTTCTTTACTGTCATATTATATGAAAAAAAATATTTTTTCATGAATTTTGCACAATATCAATAATAAAAAAAAACTATTGAAAAAAAATACAAAAGAAAAAGAAAACCCAAGCTAAGCTGTGTCTCTAGGCCTGCAGACCCAAGTCACAATCCTGCATATATAGGCTTGTGTCTCTAGGCCTGCGGAAGCCGGTCCGGTTAACTGGCCTGACCTGGCCACATGTCAATAATAATAATAATAAAAATAAAAAAAAAGCAGTGGAAGACAATCGTTCGCTATTGCAATAAATAAATAATATATTAACCATAAAAACTCCAAATATTTTAATTTTTACTCAATCTGACACCCTATTTTATGTTACAGATCTTTTAAAATATATCAAATCAAAGGTCTAAAAGAATTTAAATTTAATAATTTTTTAATTAAAATCTTGTATTTAATTGATTATTCCTCGTGTTTTTCATAAATTTTCAATTAAAAAATAACATAATTTGTAATTTTATATGCATTAATTCTTAAATAAAAAATTGAATTCAAATTTTTTAAAAGAACCTAAATATTTTTTTACATAAGATCGTGTGTGTGTGTATATATATATATATATATATATATATATATATATATATATATATATATATATATATATATAAAGGCTACAATTCCTATAAAAACTTGTTTAAAAATAACAAATAAAAAATTAATGTTTTCTTCTTATTTAATAATGACGAGACAATGATTTTATAATTTTTACATTATATATATGTATGTATGTGTTCTATTCAAAACATCCAACAAATAAACCATATTAATGTATTTAAAAAATATAGTCTAAAAATTTTATTCAAAAATTCATATATAAAGAAAAAAAATCATATCTTCTTATCAAATAAAATTTTATAAAAAAGTAATTAGATATTTCCATTAACAAATAAAATTGTATAAAAAAGTAATTAGATATTTCCATAAAAATGACAAATAAAAAAATCATCTTAAATTTTGAAAGCCAAAAAAAAATTACAAATTATAAATCGAAAAAATCATATTTGTATGAAAAAAATATTTTTTCATAAATTTTGTACAAAATCAATAATAAAAAACAATAAAAAGAATTGCTGAAAAATTATAAAAGAAAAAAAAAAAAAAAAAAAACCAAAGTCAGGCCTGTGCCTTTAGGCCTGCAGATGTAGGCTTGCGTCTCTGGGCCTGTAGAAACAGGCCACATGCGGGGAAAAAAACCCAATGGACGTTCGCCGATACAGTAAATGAAATGTAAATAAACACTGAAAACCTCCAATCTTTTAGTGTTTTTTACTTATTGAGAATAAGAAAAGTCCATGAGTTTGATTCTAATTTGTCAGGACGGGTTCTGGTCACCGAGAAACAGCATTCGCTTTGCTGCTCCAGACCATTAGAGGATGTCGGTCAAAACTCCAATATCCACTGTGTAACCCTACAAAAAGTCGTTTGGTTAGTCCAGATTACATGTAATTTGGCACCCAAACCTCGTGACATTTTATATTTTGAGCACTTCTCTTGCTGATTAAATACAGAACAATAAAATAAAGGGATGTGCATAAAACAATCAAATGGATAAATTCAGTGCTACTAATCGATTACAGAATTGATAGCAGTGACGCTGTGACTGCCAGAATAATTGTAAGAAAACAAAAGTAATTAAACTGAATAGATCATGGCAAAGTGGCCCAAGCAATATGGTTTATCTTCCAGAGTACATACTTGCATGGTTGTGTCTCCATTTCTTTTTGCCATACTTAGCAATCACTGCTAATCGTATGTACACTGTGTAGGTCAAATGCTGTTCTTGATTAACGCGAGGAAAAATCATTTACATTCACCACAAGGAAGAATTTCCCTACCTCTGTAGCAGAGTTAATGAAATTGATTAAAAAATAAATATCCCTATATATTAATCTCGATATTCACAAAGATAAGACTAGAATCAGCATTTTTTATTCATCTTGTTTTTGTCATGGTAAGAATATCAGTTGATTCCTAAATTGAAGAGTTTATAGGCATTTTTAAAAAATTTGCAAATGAGAACAATAGTGCTATAAACTGTGGATTTGTCTTTATTTTGTCATGGAGCAATATGAAGACCTATGCGTTTCCAGTCCAAAAAAAATATTTGGAGTACATGGCGTTATAACTCTATAAGGTCCAAACCAACGATGTCCATTGGACCTTTCCACCTGGCAATATTTTAAATCTAATGTTAGGTTATCAATCATAGCAAATTCCACTTTGGGTTGAAAGTGGAATCAGCAGCCCCTAGTTGATGGATATACGATGCTGGAATTGACTGAGACCTAATATTTTGATGAAAATTTTATTCAAACGATGACTTAAATAAGATTAGAGATTAAGATCATCATGAATCTATTTTTTCTTTCGAGATAAAGCACAAAGCAAAGCGCACCATCTCCTGTCCAATATGAATAAATTAGTGACAGACCATGGAAGACTAAAAACTATATTGGAGAGATTTCTATATGTTTCTGTTGACAACTAGCTATAGATCAAGCCAAAAGGTTGAAACTTAGCCATGGAAACTCCAACTCCACGTTGCTGCCTGTCCAATGCAAAAATATATTGTTGCTTTCTTTGGGGACGGTAGCGGGAAGACATGCTTCCGTATGATGCAATTTCACCTCTTCTGTACTGATACATGCTTCAAAATCTGGTCGTAAGATTCGGTCCCATGTGAGAGCTTTATAAGCTTCCGTGCTTAACATTATGATTACGAAAACAAGAACAAGGGCCAGAAAAAAGACAGGTGCCCAACCCCAGCTGATCTTTATTCACAAAAGTCGCAACATGATAGGAGCGCTTGAAGAATTTGGTTACACCTAACTTTGTAGGCTTGTAGCTGGTTGGTGGTGGCGGCGGGGCATTGGAGCATGTAAATACAGTGCGATTAGGTCAGAATCTGTTTTACACGCGAGCAAAAAGTGTGGGAAAGGAAAATTGATTTGGTGTATTCCACCTAGATCCACTTATGGATATGAACCCGTACATTTTCATCCCATCTGATGATGTGAAAGGACCAGAACCATTTCTCTTATCTTCTAATGTTTCCCATTCGCGCAAACTGACTTGACTTTAAAATCAAAAAGCAAACAGTACCTCCTTCTGTTACTTTTTCCAAATCAAAACTAAATATTTTATGAATAAGATATGACACGAATCTCTCTTATTCGCTGGTGCTGCTAATTAGCACAAAACCAACAAATGATACTGTTAGCACTTAGCACGCAGCATAGGCCCGCACCTTGAAATTTCTTTATGTAGTGATATCCAATAAACGTAGCCAACAACTTTTAGTAGCCAAGTGCAATTTAGGACCCTCCACTTCCGTACTAAAGGCTGTACCGAAAATGTACCCCAACGCACTAAATTAACAACTCAGAGCTCAATAAATTGGCATCACCAACTTTATTGCATATCACCAGTCCCTATTGTTAGGTTCTTCTATTTCGCTTGCATGAGAAGATAAAACAGAGATTTAGCAAAAATCATCAATGGAGGAGGGAGATCCAAATCGACCATCACTAGGGTTCCCTATAGGTTTAGTTCTTCTATTGCTTATGTTGTTTATCATGAGTGGGTTGTTCAGTTGCTGCCTACACTGGGAAAGGGTGCTTTACCTACTTGGAGCTACAAGCGAGGACAATCACTCCCTTACCGAAGAAGATGTAGAAAATTTTCCCCAGAAATCTCCACCCCCTCGTGTGGTATATCTTTCTTTCTCTCTCTCTCGCAACTCAATATTTTGTTTTTCTTGAATTGATCCTTGATTTTTTATTTCTTAATTTGTGGAAGGAAAAGAGATAGAAAAGAAAAAATGAAAGAAAAAAACAAGATTAACAAACTAAACAAGGAGTGTTCTTGCATATGATCTTATCTTCCCATATTTATATAGCATCTGCAGGGGATCTAATGACTTTGATTAGTTAATAAGATTATTATTTTTGTAACAAGGAGAAGAGGAAATTTCAGTTTTCTTCTGATGATACGATCATATTGTTGCTTAATCTTTATGTACTGAAGCACTCATACATGTATTTCAATATCCATACAGAAGTCAAAGAAAAGTCAAGGCCAGAGCCATCCAGTTTTGATGCCAGGGGATCAAGTGCCAAAGTTTATAGCAATGGCTTGTCCATGTGAGCCTCAACGTATTGAGAAGATAACAGTGCAAGTTCAGAAGCCGCCTTCTTTTCCAGTCCCATTATACTGATTAATTACTTCACCATACCGCATGATCATTTTGTATATAATACGCAGCTAGGTATTAATTAGTTAGTTTAACTCAGAAATCTGCACTAACGGGGGAAAAAGAAGAAGAAGAAGAAGAAAGAGTGCTTTGTACAGCCATGTTTTCGAGTTTGTTTCCATTCGGTTGCAAATCAACGTGACAAAAATTTCGAATTTGAAGAAAAGAATGCAAGAACTATGGGACATATGCATAAAAGTCCTTGTAGGTTGCCCCATGATGAAAAGGCACAAATTAGTCGTTGGTTAAGATTATTTAGGTTTATAGTAAGCAAATTGTTTCCTGAATCAATGATAATGAACGAACAAAATTTCCGGACTTTTTTTCCCGGTTAAAGCTCCAATTAAGTTCTCTTTTTGGTGATGGTTTTCGGGCACAGCAAAGATCTTGATTCTCTAAGGAGGCGTAAAGTAGAATCAAGCAAGAGTGAGAATACTGAATAGAGTATTGGCATCTTTCTTTTGCCAACTAGAAGCATTATCTTCATATTTTGATGAAAATCCATGCTTTCCCCCACGTTCTTCGTGTAGATAAATTCTCCAATTTGAAATGAAAGCGCTTTAGTTTCTTTCTATTTTGTTATAACTTGTGAACGGGCCTTTCCTTTTGTGGCTTTAACGAGCAATGGGACTCGAGAGACGACGGAAGGCCCACCCGTATCCAATCCATTCGATCGGGTTCTATGGATAATGAATGTCTGACGGACAGGAGATAGCATACCACAGCCCTCTAATGTGGATTTATGAAAAAACATCAGATGAAGGTACAGAAGGATATTTTTCTTCGAAAATGATTTTTTTAAAAATAAAATTAAACCCATTACTTACGTAGACTAACATGAGGATAATATGCAAATTAGCCTCCCTTTTGCTAAAGTAATATTTTTGAGCTAAGTTCATAAAAAATTAATTTCTTGTTTCTTGAATAATCCGACCCAAACAATTTTTTAGGTAGACTTAGTTAATCGTATTGTCTATAAATTAAGTTCATAAAAGCATGATCTATAAACAAATTATATGGAATACCAAGTAGAAACTACTATATTTTATCTATAGATCTCGTGTTTATTACCCAAATTTATGGAAAATACTGTAATACCCAAAAATTTGCATGATAATATATTATGTGATATGTGTACAAATATGCTTTATTTGTGTATTTAATTTAATATTTTTATGTGTTTAGCGAGCGAATGTGATGATTAGGTATGGATTTTTAAGATATAATATATATTTTTGGGTATTATAGATTTTATTTTTATAGATAGTAACTAGTCCTACAATCTTAGCCTAAGTTATTAGGAATTAAAGAATTGAAATAGTAATAATAATAATAGATAAAATAATAATAATAATAATAAATGAAATAATAATAAGTTTTAATATTATTTTTTTACTGTAATGTTAGTGGCTATGAAAAGAGAGCAAAAGTTTTGAAACATATATTAAAATTAAAGAGGAGATATGAAAGACCATGAAAGAAAAGAAAGTGGTCATAAAAGAAGAAAGTTAGTGGCCATGAAATCCATTTATTTTAAGTAAATGAATGAGGTCATTTTTGAATGCATACCGAGGTTTAAAAGTTGATGTTTTGATCGTTAAATATTGAGATTAATGTTTTTATGCATGTTTTTATTGAGGCTAAACCCCGCGAATCGATGTTAGTATCTTCTAGCGAGCCCGGATAAGGAAATGAATTTTGAAGATATTCATGTATAAAAAGTTTTAATGTAAAATCATATATGTTGCACTTATTGGGATATTCGTATCTCACATTCGTTATGTGGTGTAGGTAATGATGCAAATATTAAGGATGTTGATGCTCGCTTCGACAATTAATGACTCATGTGCCGCCTTTGCATGTCCTTAGTGATGTTTTTATGTATATTTTTATTGAAACTAGACCCTACTAATCGATGTTAGTATCTTTTAGTGGGCTCAAATAAGGAAAAGAATTTTGAAGACATTCATGTATAAAAAGTTTTAATGTAAAATCAAGCATGTTGCACTTATTTGGATATTCGTATCTCACATTTGTTCCGTAGTGTAGGTAGTGATTCAAATGTTGAGGATGTTGATGCTTGCTCCAGTGACTAGTGATTCATATGTCGCCTTTGCATGTCCTTAGTGATTAGGTTATGGTTATGCTTTAAGTGAACCTTTATTTTTGAAATAACAAATGTAAGGACGTTAAGCTTATGGATGTTGGGAATGTTTTACTTAAAATTTGAGTATGAATACTAGGACAAGATTATTTATGAATGTTAATCATGGCGGGATATGTTTTTATAAATTATAAAAAATTAGAATAACGTTTCCCACTCGTGTTAATGAGAAAATCTTATTGTTATATATTATTAATTGACATATTTAAAGATAAATAAAATTAAATTAGGAACTTAATTTTAAGAAAACTAAAAAGACATACGTTGTCAAGTGAGGTGTCTCGATCGACATGCATTATAATGTGATATCGAGTAAAATAGATTTTATGAACTTAATTAGAAAATAAAGTTATTGATTATTTTGAAACGAATAAATAAGTATTGAATGTTTGATGTATGATGACACACGTGAGTTCGAGGCATGTCAATAGCATCGAGAATCGATTTTTTTATATATATCTATATTGTATAGAACTATGTTAAAATATGTGCATGACGTATATAAATGATATTTGAGTATTTTTTGATTTAAATGCTATAATGAGGACTATGTGAAAGGATTTTAGAAATTTAAACCAATAATAAATGATAATATGATAGAATACTTCTAAGAATAATGGGAGTTATCGAGGCTGAAAATGGCGGTGGCATTTAGGTAGAGAGTGAAAATGAGGTCTTGATGCGGCATATGCTTGGATATGATACGACGGGAGTAAGAACGATATGAGGAGCATATAAGGCAACTATTGACTCGCGACAACGAGAGGGATCAAAGGCCTCAAAATAAAAAAGGTGACATGATGGAGAAATTTCAAAAGTTGAATCCGAAGGAGTTTGTGAGAGACCCCGATCCTATAGTTGCTCGAAGATTGAATTAAGTCCCCGAAGGTTATTTTTTAACATCTTTGGATGAGAGACTTTGATAAAGTGAAGGGAATTGTATTTATACTAGCTTGAGATGCGAGAGCACTGGAGGGACGTGATTAGGGTTCATTTGAACATACCTAGCTCTAACTCGGCTACGCTTAAAAAAGATCTTCTTTGCTAAGTATTTCACTGCGGATGTAAAAGTTAAGAAGGTGCAAGAGTTTCTTGATTTAAGGTAAAAAAATATGACGATGATAGAGTATGTCAATTGGTTTGAGCATGAAAGCTGATTTGCCTCATTCATTATTGAAGACCACGTGTCTTGAAGAAGGACTAGTTCCTATGAGGACTCACTCTTCGAATCAAGAGTATGGTGCGGATATCTTATGCTCGCCACTTATAATGACATGGTTAGTTGGGCATCGATGGTCGAGAAGGACCAAAAAGAGATTGTATAGGAACTTCGGGTGAAAAGGTTGAGGCCTAACTTTTTAGTGAAGGTTAGGAGTTTATCTAGGATTAAAAACTTAATGGACATGATGTTAATAGAGTTACATATTAAGGTTGAGATTTCATCAAAGAGGAATGAAGCTAATAGAGTTACATGCATTAAATGTGGAGGGATGCACTCTAAAATTTATTTGGTAGGTATTAACACTGTTATCGGGTGTAAGGAGCTAGGGCATATGGTTAGTCAATGTCCTAAGAGAACTAGAGAAAATCAAAAGGTAGCAACTCGAGTGTATACCATAACTTAAGAATAGGCTAAATAGAATAATGTAACAATAATTTATGGTTACTTCTTAATCTTTAGACTCGTTGTATATACTTTGATAGATTCAAGAGCAACACACTCATTTATATCGAGGTCTTTAGTAAGAAGATTGGGTGTAAAATCTAAAATATTATAATCTATTTATGGAATAATGTTATCATCTAGGGATATAATGGAATCTAAGAACTTGGTAAGGGAATGCGAGCTTATGATAGAATAGTGGTCAATAAAAATAAACTCAACAATGCTTAGTATTAAGGATTTTGATATAATACTAGATATGATTTGTTTGTCAAAGTATGAAGCTAGAAACAACTATAGAGTAAAGGTGGTAATATTCCAACCACCTAGCGAAGAGCCACTTAGAGTTTAAGACGAGTAAGAAAGTGAGATTGATATCAATGATGTCGAGTATAAAAGCATGGAGAATGGTTGAGAATAGAAGCACATGATATCTAGCCTATATAGTAGATATTAATCGATGAAGGAAAAATTATAGGATATTGAGATAATAGAAGAATTTATGGATATATTTTTAGAGGGGTTAAAAGGGTTGCCACCAATGAGAGAGATTGATTTTGAGATAAAGCTAGAGCCAATAACCACTCCAATTTTTAAGGCTCCTTATAGGATGGCATCGGTGTAATTGAAAGAGTTAAAAGAGCGAGATATAAGAGTTATTATATAAAGGGTATATAATGCCAAGTTGTTTATTGTAGGGTGCACTTGGTATTGTTTGTAAAGAAGAAAGATAGGACATTCGGTTTGTGCATAGATTATTGAAATTTGAATCGAGTAACGATTAAGAACATATAACCCTTCTTTCATATTGACGATCGATTTGATTGGTTATAAGGAAAATCGATTTTTTTTAAGATTGATTTATAGTCGGGGTACCATCGGCTAAGAATTAAGGAATGAGATGTGAAAAATGTCGCTTTTCGAACTAGGTATGATCAATATGAATTTTTAATGATGCCTTTCAAACTCATAAATGCTTCTACGGTTTTATAGAGCTCATGAATCAAGTGTTCTATGAATACCTAGATAGGTTTGTCATCATCTTTATTAATAATATTCTAGTTTACTTTAAGAGTAGAGAAGAATATGTAAAGCACTTGGGAATCATATTGTAAATATTAAAGGAGCACTAACTATATGTAAAGTTCAAGAAGTGTGCATTTTGGCTAGATAAGATAGTTTTTTTAGGTCATGTGGTGTTGAAGGATGAGATAAGAATAGATCTAAGTAAGGTTTAGGTGATTCGGAATTGGAGATAACCTAAAAATGTGTTAAAGATGCTTGAGCTTTTTAGGAATGGGTGGATATTATCGAGAGGTTTGTGGTGGGCTTTTCAAAGTTGATCGCTCTATTGATGAAACTAACTAAGAAAAATGTCGGATTTTAGTGGAGAGATGAATGCGAGGTGAGTTTTCAAGAGTTGAAATGAAGGTTGACTATTAGACTCATGTTGACTCTCCCAATTAGTGAGGATAACTTTATGGTGTACACAAATGCTTGTAAGATAAGATTGAGGCGGTATTAGTGCAAGAAGGAAAAGTTTTAGCTTATACCTTGAGATAATTAAAAAACTATGAGAAGAATTACCCTACACATGATTTGGAGTTAATAGTAAT